ACTCGATGATCCCAAGGGTCTCTTCCAACCTGAATGATTCTATGATTCTAGCCATCAGCTTTTCATGACAAAAACCAATATTGTATTATATTCAAGGCCCATTTGAATTCTAGCGCAACTTACATAAAGACAAGTATAGGAGTGAGAAGTGAAATACAAGTCCCTGCAACAACTTTCGAATTTACCCCTTTATTCATGTGTCAGGCCTTCCTGAGCCAGGATGTCATCTTGGAAACTTAAGTTAAGACAGTGTTCTAAAAAGCTGAGAACTGGCCACGTTTCAAGAGTTTTCCCTCCTCGCTAGGGATAAACTACGTCTAAAAGAAGATATTGTGATTCTAGGTTAACTTCTTTGGTAATGAAATCTTTTAAATTTTCTTTTGTTTATTAGAAGATAACCTTTCAGTTCAGAGGTCTACTATTGACACAAAAAAATTTGAAAGACAACCTGATGCCCCTTCCATATCTCATACTTTGCAAATCTGTCTGTTCTTACATTCTGGAAAGCTGAAAAAAACCCAACTACTTAAAACCAAAAAATTAGAGAGAAAATCTCACTGTAGAAAGGGCTGGAAAGGACTTTGCATCTTGAAGTTAATTTCCATAAATGGAAACATACATCTGATTCATGCAAGCTGTCTTTTAGAAGACTAATAACTGCATAAAATAATCTAAGTATATAAATATCACCAAAAAATACACCTGCCTGTAACATCATATTCTTTAAAGCTTACATTAGAGGATATTTTATATGGTGAGAAATATAAACAAAACAGAATAAAATTCTTAACTCGTCTGTTTACATAACTATGACAATTTCAGAACAAAAGCTTGATTAAACAAGCAGAAGAAAAATCCTTATGTTGCTTGTGGTAAATATCTTAAAATGTGCCACGATCCCACAAGCAACATTTCCAAGATCTACATTTACTTTTCTTTACTGTAGTTAATTACCAGGGATAAGAGTTTAAAAAAATAATGACATGAAAGACAGAAATTAAACAAAATTCGGTAAACATGAGAAGGGGAAACTTGGCCTACACAGAACACTAAGTTCATTTTTAATTTGCTTTCCCATGTTTTTTTATACACATTTCATGGCTACGTTGTAGATGGTTTATTTGTTGAAAGGAAGATAAGAATGTGAGATGCTTAACAATGGCCAAGGTTTTTGAGGGTTTGTGCTACAAAGTGTCTAATGGTCTCTGTTAATGCATTTCCCAGAGTGTTTGGCAAGCTAATATTCCAAAGACAACTGCAAGACAAGGGCTTTGGTATCTTCAGATCCTTGAAAATAAATCATTATTTGACTTCATGTGTCATCTCCATTTTCAACACGGTTGCCATATTAAAAAGGACCAGTAACAACACGGGTAGGAATTGAGAGGGTTTGGTCTTTAACGTGAGTGCCTGGTGTACCTAGGGATAACGTATTAATGAAAGATCAACGTGGAGAAATATCGTCCATTTACAACAAATAATTTCCTGAAACACAGGGGGGTAATGATCAGAAAGTGTAACCCATTTTCAAGCATAGAAAGAACAACAAGAAGTCTGCTGAAGTAAACCTGCAAGGAGTAATAATTGGCTCTAAATGTAAGAAAAATGTGAGTTTTTGCTTACTAACTTGGCAACCTCATAGACAGAAGTGAAAAACTGGCAACTCTCTTTTCCTTCGTACACTAAACGAAAGGCGCTTTCACAAATCTACGAGTAGGAACGACTTATCTATGCTGGGAATACAGCAAAGGCAAGTAGTCAACTGTTTTCCATTGTTGTTCAACCCAGAGTTTCAGTATCTAAATTACAGGATTTGGAGCTTGATGGATTCTGGGGATTATTTTGGGGGGCTAATGATGAATGGTTTGTATTTTTACACAGCTATCCTTAAAGCAAACGATGTCGGGTATTACATTCGCCATGCTAAAACCCTGCTTGGAGTGGAATTACAAAATTATAATTAGCTGGCATCAGAGATGATTAGTCATAATTCCAACAGTCATGACTGCAACAGAACCTAAGTTGGTGCATAAATAAGCACTTGATTGGAGTAGTTTGCATCAGTTTGTTTCATTAATACCCTAGGAATGCAAAATAGGACTGTATTCATCGCAAGAAAGAATCCTAAGCCTTTTAAACAATTCAGTAGACTTGCTTAGGTGAATTTCCATACTCAAGGTAATTTGGGGATCAGCCAACGTATAATAAAGTCCCAAAGATATGAGCAATTAAAAAGTCCCCAAAATGTTAAATATTACTTTTCTAATTACAAAACCACATTTGACTCATTTACTTAAAGAAAAAAAAAAATCTCAACCCCATTCCATCTTGAAATATTAACCATTAATTAACATTTTAAAAGAATCCATGAGATTATTTTCTCCAACAAAACTACAGAACAGTTTTTGCTTTCACTGAATTCTCTGATGATTCACTGTTTTTCCTTTTTTTTTTTTTTTAAGTACATGGCAAAGCGTTACTGAAAAAGTATTTAAGCTATAAACAAACAACCAAAAAAAGCGTATTTTTTTTTTTAATCCTAACAAGTTGGTTGCAGTATTTTACTCAGAGGTTGGTTGCAGTATTTTACTCAGAGGCTGGCATATCTGATGTTATTTCTCCTATGAGTACTGTGATCTCATTGACCAAAATATGGCAACTAACCACATGAGGCAACAGGAAGACTTGTATGAAGTACATTCATGCCATGGTTCCCTGGTATTAAAGAATGTCTTTATATAACTTGAATATAAACAGTCTATGAGAAATAATATACTAAATATAAATATTGCTTAGAATCACAGTAGTCAATTAAATCCCTAATCTTTTTGCCCAAATCATATAGCCTGATAAAAATAAATTTTCTTTCCAGAAGGCAAATCAGATCTTCCCAGCTGCTGTTGACTGGTAAAATAGTCTTCAAAAATCAATATGGCACATGAGTATGCTCTTTTACCCAACTATACATGAAGAAATTATTCCTGAAATGGAATAATACATGCAAAACTCTCCTTTCGCTCATGCAAAATTCTCCTTTAGCTCACACAAAGGCATTAAAATGGTGAAAAATTATATCTAGAAAACATGCAGAACTTTCATGGTATACTATAAAATTGTTGCATTCACAATGTGTTTATATTTTCAGAAATAAAAAGGAGGAAATGCAAGTTCAGAAATTACCTATAGCTCACTGTTTTTTTCCAAAATATAAGTTCACACAGAAACAGCCTGTTATTTTATACAAACCTAGCACAAAACAGAAATAAAAAATGCTGATACACAACGTGTTCAGTGACCCATCCAAAATGGGACAGTGTGAAGAAAATTCTCATTTGAGAACTTCCACTATAAAGTGGTCCCCCAAGAAGTATGGGAAAAGAAATGCCATCATTCTCCTCCAGAAGTGAAATAAGGGAGGTATAGAGAAATGGCCATGCTTAACTTTTCTCAGGAATGGAAACTTTTGAAACTTTTCTGGATAGGTTCCCTGTAGGTGAAATTAGTAGAAGTTGTAGTGATGGAGACAGACCTATTTCTACAGATAATCCAATTTCAATATTAGCTAGAACACGACCAACAGTTATTAGCAAAATCGCTAAAAGACTTTCTAATTATGAGTTGTAGCAAACATATGATGACTGGAATTACGTTGTACTTTTCTGCAGCCTATGACACGGGCTGTCTTCAAGCAGAGGTTCCTAAAACCATCATCAGGTCCCTAACAGAGTGGTGCTCTCTCAGACTTGGAGCTCGGTAGGCCTACTTTACAGGTTAGTAACAAAGTCACGCTCCTTGAGGCAAATTAAACATGTTTGTGCTTAAACATAAAAAAGGATTAATTAACAATGGACTGGACAGTTCTACCTCCATAAACCGCTTTACAAGGAGCCTGCAAAGATCCAACATGACACATGTATAAGGAATTATACACGCTTGCACCAGCACTGATCATGTAAGCATCAGCGTGAGGCACCTTACCCCAGTGTTCAGTTCATACCCCAGCGTCAGCACCGTTTACCAAAAGTGGCCCCAGAGCACTAACGTTCCAGGATGGATTGCTGCAAGACAACTCTGTGATATTTCTTACCTCATAACCAAGGGAAAAGTCACTCCCTTACATGGAAACCTTCTGGCTCTGGCATTCCTGCTTCCAGCAAGTTCAAATCACTCTGCATCTGGGCCACCTTGCCCTCCATGACAGATCATTCCTTGGTCATGAATTACTGCTGCTGAGCACTTGCAATTTGAATTTCCCCTTCACTACCTACATTGTCAGATTTGTGTTCCCAGCTCACAGTTGTCTACCAGGTCTCATCTCTCCCTTTTCATTCTCAAAACCAGCTTTCTTTTCCATTTCCCTGTATAATTTTTTTCCTCCCATCCGATCTTTTTCACTTAAGTCTAATCAGAATTCTTGGCTTTACCTACTCCTCCTAACTTGATTCAGTTTGTGTCCTGTATGCATTTCTTACTAGGAAGTTTCCATAACAGTACAAAAGACACAGATTTATCCTCCATGGTTAAGTCTGGTTGTTTCATCTTGCCAGCTGAGAGGAACTAGGAAGAACATGAAAGAAGAGTCACAGATTCAGCCTTAACTCCTCTTAGTGCTGTGTAGATAAAAACCTGCTGAATTGCTCTATGAGGCCTCTTTCCTGCAAAATGTACAAAATGTGGATATGTGATAAATACTCAAACCTGAAGTTTACCAGGATTGACTGAACATTTTTGATTTGCTCTTTTATAAGTTTTATTACTGAAAATGGCTCACCTACTTAATCTGAAGTTTCCCAAAGCGTAGAATGAGAAAACATGTCATGCAAAATTGCAGGCCAAAGAGTTTCCAAATTGGAAAACAACAGAAAAGACAGTGCTAAAATGAAAGAGGTTGAGCAACCAAAATAAACAGTACCCAAGAAGGCTGTCTGTAGTGCATACTTATTATATACAGTTACAATAATATTATTTGGAAATTTGTGTTTTCTTGGCAACTCATTTACCTTGAATTCTTCAACAATAATACTCAAAGCTTCATGTCCAGCTTTTCTCATGTCTGCTAACTCCTGCTTATGTTTTTCCTGTAAAAAACATGGAAAGGTTACACACAACATAGGCACTTAGCATGGCAGTTTTAATTAACAGAGTAAACACCAATTATTTTCCTCATTTTTGGTATCTGTCATGAATAAATGCGCACATCTTGGCTCTTTAGATATAATATATATGCTCAATTCAAGTTGGTCCTAACATTAAATTTATTTTTCTTTATTTCCTAATTGTACTTTATAAGTCCTCAGATAATTCTAAATGGTTCTCCAAATGTTTTTAAGATTTTCTTTGTTACTCTGATTTTTTTCTGGTTTCTTGGCACCTGTGGATGGCACAACTTCCAAATCTCTTAGTAAATGTTATTTACTGCCTACATTAATAAAAACATTAAAAAGGATTAGTATCAGATTCAGCTTCCTCAGAAGAGCACACCCTTCTCCTACTCAGCACATAGCTCCTTTTTTATCTGTTTTTATTCGTAAAGTTCTCAAGAAAGTGTTCTTGAATAAGACACAAGAACATGTTTTTCAAACAAAGCTCTACTTTTTTTATTCATAGTATTATGTAAAAATATCACAGATAGGAACATTCTAATATTTTTGCATTTACATAAAAATGCTTGCCCGTGGTTTGCTATCTGAGTCTGCAATGTGAACACCTTATTAGATCCTAATCAGCATTTCACAGTTATCAATGAGCAGCACCACAAGGCCATCATTGCAAAAAGTTTGAAATTATAGCTATACAAGCTTCTAATTGTTCACCCAAATATAATAAGACATTCAGATTCTCTTGAATAGAACTGGTCTTTTTTGTGAAGTCCTGAAAGAACCACTGATATGAAGCAGAAGAATTCAAGACAGAAATATTTTGATATGTAAATAAACTACTATATCAGATAACAATGCACAGCATCTGGGTACATCAGATTTAATCAGATTGTGATTCAAAGGTATTATTGATGCCATAAACTAGTTAAACTCAGATGTTATTTACGTAAAAAAAAAATACCCAAACTGCTGAACTAGAAATATTTTTACAGTACAAAACTACAGAATTGGTATAAAGAGGAAAAATGCGATCCGGTGCTTAACTCCAAAACTTCACAAATCATTAGCAAGTATGTTCCCTATGGAAAGTGAATATATGGGTAATAAGATGAGAAAAAAATTATTTACTACAGTAGCATATCCTGGACTTACAAATATGAAAAAAGAATTACATAGAAATTGGAAGTTAATGGTCCTTAATTATTCTAGCTGAAAAAAAAAAACAACCAAACAACAAAACAACAAAACCAAAACTGAAGAGAAAGCGTTCCATGCTGAGAAAAGCCTCTAAATGAGAAGAGTTAAACCAGTAATATTTCCATCTAAGATCTGTGAGAATTACCTTGAATGCAACAATGAGACACAATGGATCAAGTGCATCGAGCAAGGAAGTAAGGTATTTCACTCTGAGCATCTCTCACTAGCATTACCAGGCAAATCAAGAGATAAAGCAAAAAATGCAGTTTCTTCTCTTAGAATAAACATCTCAAGTTTTTCAGAATTAGTGACTTGTTCAAGATCATGTACTAAATGCAAACCACAAGTTTTCAACACAAGTTGAAGCAGCAACACCAAGGTATAACTAGCAACAAGAAGATTCCACCTAACACGTTTTAGAGTACTTAACTTCCTTAAAATATTTCCTAAAGTAGAGGAAAAAAGTCATTAGTAGAGAACTAATAGTAAGGCACCAGTTTGCTTGAGTCAGGTTTAGCAATCAATTTCTACAAAGGGTCGAAGAGAGAATGAAAGGATGCTATTACAAACACAGAGACAAAAATGCCCCCTCCAAGGGAGGTCTTCATCCAGTCTGATGAACCTCACACTGCCTTTTTTTCTGTGTCTATTTGGAAGATTTTTCAGCTAAGACAGCAGGCCTGTAAGTTTGTGGTTTTTTTAACTTGTAAAGGTGCGTTTCAAACCTTTTGAGGATGGCTGGCCTTTTCTTCTGAAAGTCTGTAAAATACTGTTTCAAAATCTTATAGATACATCACTCAAAAAAACGTGTGCTTGGTCCTTGTAATATGACCCAATAAGGAGAAGACCCAAAGTCACTTTAAGTAACACATTTTGGAAGTGCATGCATTGAATTACTATCTAATAGTAAAAACACATCAAAGTTCCTGAGTTTTATGATTTGGCTATGAACACAACAGAAACATTCCAAGAACAGCAGCACACTAATTTGATGAACAATGGTCATGCCAGTTCTTCATACATCCTCAATAAATTGTGTGCTTGCCATAGGAAAATGAGTTTAATGAACTGACATAACTACTCTTAGAACTATTAGTCTGCTTGTAAGAAAGAAAAGGGAAGCTTTATGAACAGCTCTGAATGGTGTAGACCTGAAATTAAAATGCAATATTCAGATTTCCTGTTGAAGAGAGAAGAATTTTGTGTTTTCTGGCTCTTGTAGAATTCTCCTGCATGGTTTGCATGACTTTGGAGAGAGGTTTTTAAAGAACGTTGTTGTTCCCTTCTTTTATTTAATAAATGCTTTTAAGAAAGGAATTAAACATGAGTTGAGAAGTTTGAAATTTAAGTAAAATCACCTTCAGAGGACTTTCATCCCCTTCCCTTGTCCCTTGTGCTGGATGGAATCTCACATAAACTTGGAAGACAGAGGGGTTTATTTTATTTTGTGATCAAAATCTTGACAATCACTCAACGGGCGCGAGCCATTCTGTGTGGACATAGTATGGAAGTAAGAGGCAATTCATTGCTCAATAGTTATCAATGCTTCAATTTTTATCATTTTGTGACTCATATAAGGAAACATATGGATCCAAAAGCCTGGTGAGCTTCTTCCGAGAGGTGCGGTTCCCAAGAAGGCTGGTGGGCAGAGAACTCTTCTGAAGTGGCTGTGACAGCAGGAATCGTTACCGACCACCCGCTGTCCGGCTGCTTGGCACTGCCTGCCGGTGGCATCAGCACTTCTTTTAGATCTTTCAGCTGAATTGCTTTCTAACTAATTTCAGTCTAAGTGAATCATTGTTAGCATAAACAGTTCAAGCAGGGTTCTTCATCAACATCCAACATCTCAACAGAAACGCAGGGCATGTGTTTGTGCATACTGGGAAGCTCTCAGAGCACTACGTAAGATACGCAGTAAGAAGATTTGTGAGATGTGATGGGGCAAGAAAGACCTCAAAGTTATTTTATTTCATTATATTTAATTACCCATAAGTTGATATATTTTTCTGCTACCTTTTTAAGAGGCAGACTACCCTGAATTGTTGGGAAAAGTTCATGCCACTCATAGACTCTGCAGAGATTCCCTTCTAACCTTCCACTCTGGTATGCCTGCATAGGTCACACCTATTGTAACAGCAATAAGTGACCAAAATGATGCTTAGCAGATGCTTAGAAAAATTATTTTGTGTCAGTGCTCCTAGAATGTATCAAAAGCAGCATCAAAAAAAAGACATTTGATACTGCAAATTCGGGTCACGAAACACAGTCACCTGAAAAGGAAGCAAATGGCTACATATCAAAGTTTCTTCTGATATTCAACTGCCCACAGCAGTACACACCATAATATTTTCAAAATCCTAGTTCTATAGCATGTATAACTAACACCAAAAAACCCCAGCGTTTTTAAAATAACTGAAGAAATTAATTTATATCATGCTTATTGAATTTATGACATTTTCTCCACAGGTATTTTTTCCCCCACTGATTTGTCTCACTTGATCAAACAGATTTAATTTAATTCTTCCTCTTTTTTTATTAGGTTATCAATAATCACTATTTATAATGATAAAAATGTCAGAGCAGTAATGCACAGATAAAGCAAAAGTCAGTACTGCAAAGCAGCACTATGAGATCACATTTATATGTGGGAAAAAATAATAGAAGAATTAAAATAAATTCAGGAAGATTCCAGATTTTTGCCCACTTTCACAAATAATCAAATGTAATCCATAAAATAAAATCCTATATTTTGGGGTCAACTGATATTCTGTGATTTTTACATTTTATATTACTTTATAATCCTGTTTAAAAAGAAGTCAGGAAAAACAAGCCAATGAAATAGTAACTTAAAACAAAGGACCCACTTTTAACTGTACAATGTTTCTGTAACACCTGTTAAGTGCCTTACATTACTGTATTAAACATGCAAGCCAGTCATCTGAGTTGATGCTGACTGCCTGTGTTCTGTAAGGCTGTGGTATCTTCATAATTAGCTTCATAATTAGTCCGAGCCAACATCTTAGAAAATGATGTACTCTCTTCCCTCCTAAGGTCTTTACTAATGCAAAAAGGCAACCCGTAGTTCACTGTAGGTAACTAAAAGACAAATTTCCAATCTAGCTTATGCAGTTTTGCTGTATGCAATTATATCATTAAGACTTTTCATATTGGACTCAATTCCTCCATTACATCAAGATTTTCCTCTCCCCAAAAATTATCAGCTCTTTTTTTCTTTCAAAGCATCATTTTAAAAAATAATAAATAACATGGAGTATCATAGTGATTCTGTTAGGAAACTGGCAACTTCTTATTTGAAGATACACATTTCCTCCAATTCACCCAAGAATAGAGAAAAAAATAATTTTACTGAGTAGAACAGAACAAAATCACCGAAAAATTAAGTTAAATGTCGTAAGAATCAGTCCATAATGGCTAATTAATATACACACTAGAGTGTGCTATTGTATATAAAATACAGATTGGTCACTATTTCTGTTCATGTGAAATAATGTGAGCTCTCCAGATCTAAGACACAGGATTGCCTCCAGGTCTATAGCAAAGCAAGCATTTTCACTTTAGTCTCAGCATCACACCATCCTAATGAAAGATAGAGCTGAGAACCTAAAGATAAGTACAAATGTTCTTATAGAGGGGAAAAGAAAGATTTCAGATTTCCCTATATAACTGAAAGACTATAGAGTACGCACAACCTGAAACTCACGACAGGACCCAAGGAGGCACTAATCATTTCTTTTATACAAGTAAATACCATTGCTACCTGG